GGTGAATCTACTCCAATATCGGTTTCACAATCAGTGTACGATGCAATCGATCAAGTATTACAAGCAAAATTAAAAGATATTGCCTCGACACCACACACACAAGTTGATTATCGAATTGGAGGATTAGATGCACGTGCTTGTTGTGATGCAGGACATATTGTTTGTCGTTGTACAGACTACTTGTTATGACTTTTTTTGACAAAACGAATTGACACTATGCATAGACAAAAGTAGAATACGTATATGAAAAATCCTCTTCAGAAATCTAGGTTAGAGTGCAACGTTGTATTGTTTTCCATAACATGCAAAAACTTTTACAAATAATTTTCATCGTCCATAATAGATGATTTTTTATTGATTATCTAAGATTTTGTTAATACGAAACCTGTTTTATGTTATTTATCACCTGTTACAACTTGAAAATTGTTTTGTTCTTCTATTATCAGATTTTTAAAAGAAGACTCTAGACCTGTGCATATGTAGAAAGCAACGTTTTTTCAAGTGTTTTCCATGCTAGCTTTGTGGACGAAACTTAGAAAAAATATTTCGTGCTCTTCCAAATGGTATCAAATTAGTTACTTGACTTTACTTTTTTCGTAGAGTTACAGCCATTTTATTCAAAAGAGCATGCATAGGAGACTTTTCATTCATGGAGAAGAAAAAAAGATTTCTTTTCTACAGAACCTAGTCAGACACATTTAATAAGATCTAGCGTAACATGTGTCTCGTAGCTTGTTCTCTTCTTTTGCCATCATTCAAATCGTTTAACTAACGCAATTCTTTTTCAGACTTACATCTACCACATGTTTTTAGTGAAAATTTCTTGTAATTGATTTTGTCGAAAGTGAAAAAGATAGCCCAGTTATTCTACTTTATAACGTCGGTGAATCTCCTTTTCAAATGTTAAACATTTCAAAAATTACTAAAGCATACGTTAATGATATTATGAAAACAGGAAGCAGAGCAAGAATAACAGTCAAAATAAGAAAAGAACGCAGTTCTTCATCTTCGTAGTCGTACTATGTCCAGTGTCACTTCGAAATCTTGAGCATCTTCTCCATCTCCCTCATATAGTAAGAAACAAATTTTTTATTTTTGGTGGATTAATCAGAGTCTCGCAAAACTGTCTTAATAGAAAAGCAATTTTGAACCCTTAGAGGCTAGCGATGCATTTTCCCAGAAGCTCATTTAGTTTCAAGGGTAATTGGAGACCTTCTGCGTTCTTCTAGATATGTCTATTGGTTACAGCCAATAATAATCTAATATCCAACATGACCAGAAATTTCCACCTTTAGGTATTTGGAGTCTACCAAATCTCAAATATCGCAAGTTAGAAGTTTTCATTAAATCTGGTGTTTGTTTCAATACATATGAAAAACTTTCGATGTCATTTGTCTGGAATAACTCCTTGCATATCGTCTTCAACAGTTTCTAAGTGTCAATCCAACCTATGAAATTCTATCAACTGCAGTATATTCAATTGCTACATTACATCTGAGTCTTTTCCACTAAAGTATAACTGTACTATAGAAAACATGTTTAAACATACTTAATTTATATGAATTGATTTTCAGAGGATTGATAACAGCTATTGATGGTCGTCAAGAGAAAAGAGTTATCAGTGGTTTTGTACTTTTTAATCAAAGATATTTCAATTAAAAATACTTGTTGACACTAATATTAATATTGATAAAGAAAAAAAGAAATTAAACTTAGTATTTGTCCTATTTTGAACTCGATTTTGATTTGAAAAACATCAATGATTTGTCCGTGGTGATTGGAATATAGAAAACAAATTAAATATTTCTGTACATTTAACCAATATGTTTTTAATGAAAAAGCGTTTTTCAGAGAAAAAACTCTTTTTCAAAATATATTCATTGTCCGAATGTTACAAATCTTCTTTTAGACTTTTCTATTGATGATTATAATTGATTTATTCTACGAAAGGTGGAACAACTAGTAGCCATTCTTATATTACAATCGAATTGATAAGATTATAGTTATTTGTAATTAGTCTTTGTTTAATCAAGAAATACATCTATTTTTTTCCAGTTTCAACTAGTGTTTATCTATATCTATTCCATTAATATTTTCCAAAAATCACATGTGAATTCGTTATTTGGAAATTTTCTGGGTAACCATTGAAGAATGACCGGCATTAAACCGTTTTCCGTAAAGTATTAGATGTCAAATCCTGAATGATTATAATTAAAATTCAAAGAATTATATTAGACCAGAACAATTCAGTCAATATTCTGTGTGAACATGATTAACGTAATCAAATATTTTTGATGCTTTTTTTTCTAGTCATTAATAAACTAACACAAAATACTTTGTCTGTTTCAGTATTAGCTTTCGTCACAACTATATACAAAAAAAGGGCTTTCTACTCAATGTTTGTGAGAGAAATGATTCTTGTAGTTACAAATTAATTTATTTAAAAAAGTATAGGGTGACATGTCTATAAACGCTATGATATAATGTTGATTTCATGTTACAGCGCATTCTAAAAATTCGATTGAAATTAAAATCTGACGATCTTCATTCTTTGTTAACTAAACTTGAAGTTTATTTCTTCATTGAACAGAGAGAAGTGTCAGACGAAAAAGAAATTCTTAAAAAGTAGAACTATCTTCACGTTTGTAAAACAATGTATGAGGTTGTATAAGCCTAATATAGAACCCAGAATTCATGGGCTTTGTTATTAAGGAGAGATGGTTTGATTTTGATCCTGTTTCAAATGGAATAAAACATAGTGCGCCTCTGGCAAAGATTATATTCAATTACGACCATTTCCATAGTCTGCATTCACAATTCTAAGTACATGTACAGAAAATATGTCTCGTAGATTTTATTAGGTTTTTTTTGAACTGAAGCTACTTAGGGTATACCAAAAGTTCTGATCACAGTTTTTAAAATTTAATAAAGCAATAAATATTGAATATTTTACTAAGGCGATATATAGTATAATGTCTCGTCTTTAATAATATATAGAGCAACTCTCTCTTAGACTTAGTTCTAACATCCTTTCAGACTAAATCTATAATTTTACAGACAATGCAAATATTATTAATTCTTGTTCAATGGTCAGGTACATTCTGGAACTTTCTATTGGTCACTCTCTCGTCACGTTTTATGACGTCATGTTCTAGAATATTACATTTCGATAGTATATATAAATGAGAGGTCGTTCGCTGTTAGTTCATTTGTACCGTACTCGACTTATAATCGTAATAGAATTTGATTTCAATCTTAAAAGAAGACATTAAACATGACTGATGAATTCAATCGATATTATATCAAAATTCGAGCTATTTTGGGAATAGATTCAAAAACAATCTTTGACGAACTTACAGAGGCATTGGGACCTGATGCTCCATCATATTCAACAGTCAGAAGATGGGCGAAACGTTTTCGTGAAGGAAGAGACGATGTCACTGATGATCCTCGATCTGGTCGTCCGATTTCGGTACTTACAGTTGAAAATGTTGAACGCGTTCGACAAGTTATCGAAGATGATCCACACTCAACTTATGATGATATTATGGGTGAGACTGATCTATCACGTGGTACAATAGAACGAATTATTCATGATCGTCTAAAGATGAGAAAAGTTACATCACGTTGGGTTGCTCATCAACTTACTGACGAATAAAAACAAAAACGACTTAGAATTTGTCGTCAAAATTTAGAGAAATTTAGAAATGGAACATGGCATTTATGTGATGTTATTACTGGTGATGAGACATGGATTTATCACAGGCAGATTGGTCGAAAGTCAAGCAATGCTACTTGGGTTGGCGAAAATGAACCACCAAGAACCATTGTTCGTCGGAATAGATTTGAACCTAGAACACTATTTTGCTTCTTCTTCAAATCCACTGGTTCTCTTCTCATACACAAAGTAGATAAGGGCAAGACAATCGATCATGACTACTATATTGATAATTGTCTTATACCTGTTATCAATGAAATAAGAAAAAAGGAAAAGTCATCACGTACTACATATAAAATGCTTCATGATAATGGTCCTCCTCATACTCATCCAGATGTTATTGATTATTTAATGGAGGAAGGAATCGAAATCATTCCACATCCACCGTATTCACCAGATCTCGCACCGTGTGACTTTTGGCTAAATGATTATATCAAGAATAAGTTGACGGATCACACAAACGAAGAATCATTAGCTCAAGAGGTTTCCACCATAGTGAAGAATATTCCAATAAACGAGTTTAAAAAGACTTTCGATAAACTGTTAGAAAGAATGAAACTTTGTATCGAAAATAATGGTGATTATTTTGAGCATTTAATAAAATAAAATAACGAATGTCTCTTCGTTTCTGTATTGTGGTTTTATGTTGGCATGATCTTTTCTTGGCTATAAATACTATAGATTTAGTCTGAAAGGATGTTAGAACTAAGTCTAAGAGAGAGTTGCTCTATATATTATTAAAGACGAGACGTTATACTATATATTGCCTTAGTAAAATATTCAATATTTATTGCTTTATTAAATTTTAAAAACTGTGATCAGAACTTTTGGTATACCCTAAGTATTTACATAAAGAATTTTTTCTCAACAATAGTTAATTAAACTCGCTAAATTGTCAAAATGTAAAATTTTCTTGTTTTCTCAGTAACTAGAAGAAAAACTAAATTAATTTTCTTCTCACCGTACGTAGCAGTATCTCTATAATAGAATATGCAGGGAACACATTTTAGTACAAGTGAACATAATTTATTTTGTCTAATCTTATTTCAATTTTCACATTCATGTTTTCATTTGTATTTGTCGAAAGAAAATTAAGTTAGAAAAGGAAAACTTGAAAGAAATATCAATGAATAATTTCGTTATGAATTTGTGTCAAGATAGCTTTTGTTGCATTAGCTGCTAGTTTCATATCCAATACACACTGTACATGATTATAATCTGCACGAAAAATAAAACCAGCATTATCAGAACTGCGAAGAAAAAGTTGTTGATTATCACGCCATCATTGAAGAGTTTCCTCTCCAGTGAGACCACCACGAGGTTGTTTTTTGCTCAAATCCGGTGCACTTACAACTAGCAAAGGTAGATTTCTATCAATCATAGCATCCTTCGGTTGCTTTGATACATAATCCGGAATAGTGTAACAGCAACGTAATTGATTTTCAAGCTTTTTTAACATGGTTTGCGTCATTAAAATAGCAATGTAACCTGGTTGCGAAGGATGAAAGAAATCACCAACTCCGAAATAATCGAACAAGAATGAAACTAGTCTCAGCAAACCACAGAAAGCGGCACGAAGCATAATTCTACATATGGAACCTAAACGATCCATATCCGTTACTACTGGACTTTCTCGTTCAAATACGGTGGGTGGTGTTGGATCTAATAGAATAATACCTGCCCATGGAGTAAAATATTGAAGGAAACGGACTGCGTAACGCATTTCCGAGATTGTAGCATGCGTTTCGCAACGTTTTTTCAATACAGGACGCGTTTCGCAGCATTCTTACTTACATAAAATGCGTTTTGCCACCGTCGTTTTTTGAAACGATTCGAAACGCTTTTTTCAAGATTGCGTTTCGAGGCGTTTCCAAATTCAAATGCTGTCGAACGCACTTTGGTCGACAGGCGACGCGTTTCACAGGTAAAAATTGAGGGAAAGGTGGAACGCGTTCCTTTTTCAAATGTATGTTGGATTGTTTTTGCTTGGAATGATGCAAAATATATCCGTTCTGCATACAGAATCTTGCAGAAATTCACCAACACAAAGCATATGAGGTGACCAAAGCAAATTCTTCAAAATTACTTTGGAAATGATATGAAATAGCACTTAAATTTTTGCTCCTTGCACTATTTTTACGTGAAAATCATGACCAAGGATTTTATGAAGGCAAGACTAAAATCAAAGTCTTCTAAATTTTTAGGCTGCTAGGCTGTTATCTAGACTTATTTCGAAGTTAGACTAATGTAAAACATCAAAGTGTAACAAAAATATATTCCGCTTACTTAAAAACTCATATCACCACGTTTTTATTGAAAGAAAACATGTTTCGTAAGGTTTACTTAAGAATCGTTTTAAATATTGAGCATTTCGAAAAGATTTAGTAAAGACTGATACTAATATAATTAGTATGGCAACTCTCTTTGGTTATTTGTGAACAAAATAATTATCACGTTATCTATAATTTGAATAATTATTAGTATGAGTTCATACTCGAACGAATTGATAATGAATAATAATACTGTGTACAATAGTAGCAAACATGATTTTAGTCTGTACATTGTTGAAGTAAGAGTGACTTTTTAATAAAAGAGATTCGACTTACAAAAGAAAACTCCCTTCATTTATTGATGTAATTGGAGAAAACGATGGCAGATTTACATTTACAAAAATCTATTAAATCAAGAAAATAAATAGAAGATTAAATTTTAAATTTTTTAAAACTTATATATAAGAAATTTAATTTTTTAAATATTAAATATAATTTAAATCGATTAAATTCGGTGCTATTGAGTATCTAAATTTAAATCTGAAAGAGTTTAAATAAAAAATGTATCAAGAAAAGACCACATTAATTACATGGGCACGAAAGAAATAATAATTTTCAATTCAGTAGAATGGAAACTGAAAATCTAATTTAGTAAGTTTACGCGAGACTCTAAATGACAGTAGAATAAACATTTATATCATCAGATTATTTTAGTTGAACGGTTTGTATATATGTCTTATACTCCTACGTTCTCGTGTTCGAATCCGTGTCTTGACTGCATCAAAATTCATGTAAGTTATAGTTCTGAAGGTCTATGAAAAAATGTAAACGAGTATATAAATTGTACCTGCAATTCAAGATCTATGAAGTCATTGACGGTTTTCAGTTTTTTTTCCATCTAGAATATATGATACCACAGTTTGAGAAACCCTGCAAAATCTTTCGCAAAAACAATTGTTACACAGCGTTTGTTTTAGCAGATGTGAAACGCGTCAAACCGGTCAGCATTAACGCGTTTTGCAGCTCTGGAAAAACGCGTTTTTTTCGCAGAAATTTACACCATGGGCAATACCTTGAAGGCTAATGCCCAAAATTTGATAGTTCAAGGAAAATGAGCTTCAAAACAAACACTTTAGCTAATTAAAAATATAGTAGATTTTTCTTGATGTGAGTGTGGATGTCAGAGAAGAAAGGATCAACAGCCAAACTCCACGTTGTTCAACAATCCGATTTTGCAAATTTCGAATTTTCGATCTTTTTCTTTCGATCAAAGTTCAAAGAATTTCATCAAGTCTATAGGTTTAGTTAAAGATACGCCTAGAAATTCTACCATATTTTTTTGCAATCCTTGGCTAATAAAATACATTCCATTGTTTCCAATTTTATTCGACGCCATATATAATATGGTCAGTGTCTATGTATGACAATGAAATATCTTAAGATAAAAACAAAGAAAGAACGAGAATAACTTTGTTAATTTCCAATAGATCGCCTATATGTCGAGCTCCCTCGTCTCCAATATTATTGTGATTAAGATCCAATTGAGAAAGTGTCTTTATATAAAAGAGACAATTGAACTGATAAAGATCCTAGCAAAATCATATTAAAATTACAGTGTTGTATCGCAATACGTCTACTAGGTGTTGTACACCAATAGCTCCAATTTCATTTTTACTGAGATCAATGATACTAAGTGTCTGTATTCATGATGTTAAATGAATATTAAGAGAAAATGATTAAAAAATATAAGTAACTTGATTATGTTGTAGTAAAGTTGCTATATAGAGAGCTCCATCATCACCAATATTATTGGTATTTATATTCAGTGTAGTAAGAACCTGTTTTTTTTAGTTTCAGACAACAGATACTTTAAAAACAAATCATTAAAAAAGAAGGTTACTGTGGTTTTGTGTAACGCATCAACGATAAATTTCGTACCAAGAGCTCCGATTTCATTTGAGTTTAGATCCAATACGATGAGTGTCTATATTTCGAAAAAAAAGTTTATTAAAGTAGAGTAAGAATAATCTAGTATTACTTGATTATTTTCTAGTCCATGAGCCAAATGTTTCGCATCAGTAGTTACCAGTTTATTATTGCACAGTATCAATGTTTCGATTGTCTATTTTCAATTGAAGTATAATATCGAAGGATAATCGAAAGTATCGAGTTTACTGTGTTATTTTTTAGTGCATGCGCAAGATATTGTGCACCCAAAGATTCGATTCGGGTGTCACGAAAACTGCATTCAATGAGTGTCTAGAAAATCACAAAATAATATCTAATTGATCAAAATTGTTTTTCGTTCCGATAGATTTTCAATATTAAACAACGACATATGTGGTTATAATGTTCCGTATTCATCTAAGAGTTTCGCTAGTAATGTCTAAATTAGGATAATATCGAGCAATATATCAGTTAGAACGTTGAAATTATGTAATAAAAATAGAAAGTATCAATAAAATAAACGTCAAAGTTATTTTCTAATGTCATATTATGCTTATATGAAAAGAGATCTGATCTTGTATTAGAGGTTATATGAAAACCCTTTATCATATATGATCTGCTAGCAATTCTGTTGAATGAAATAGATGCTTTAACAAATCAATTAAGTGAGACAGAAGGACAATAATGAAGACAAAATGCAATCCTTGTTATCAATATAAAAGAAAAATTTGTTATATACTTCATCCATAATTCTTTCAACATTTTTTTGTGTTTGATCGTGTTGTTAGATAATAAGTATTATCTTTCGATGAAATTGCACATCTAATTCCTCGGATATGATATAATGGTAAACTATTTGGTACTGTATAAAGTGATATCACATGTGGTTGATTAATGAGACATTTGCATTTAATAAACCAATGCTTTTCATGGAGCCAAAATGTTGTTCGAAATGGAGCAGTGAGTGCGTCAAGACTAATCCAATTGCTTGATAACATATCATAAGAAAAACAAAATTCACATCGAGCTAATAAAGATTTTTTAGTTCGAATGAAGTGTTTCCAATCATCAATTTCGATAGCGGATTCGAAAGTCTTTTTCTTAAATACTATTCGAAGACTACGAAGTGTAGGCATACTAGAAATCATGAATTTGAGATATTCCATTGGTAGTGAACACTCAGTCATAGATAAGCATGCCAAGGATGAAATAACTAAAGAATTGGATGCTCGTATATGAATGCATTTAGTATCTATAATACAGTCTCTTAATTGAAATTTTGCTAAATAAGGTAATCGTTGAAGAATAGTCATGTATTCACTGTAGAGACAAGTATTCATTTTCAAAGACATCAATTTACATTGTACGGGCAATGGCATATCATCGAGTTTGTAAGTCAAGTTAGGCCAGTTTAATTTTTGAAGATTAGTTTTTGCAATGATTGATGAAATAAGAGCGAACATTTTAGAATTTGGCTCATCGTGTGTGACAATTTTAAGTGAGATCAATCGTTCGAAATATGAATCTTTCAAACTATTGGCGTGTGCATTTCTGATATAAAGAAGAGTCAAATGTCGAACTCTCTTACATTCAAAAATATCCTGTAAATAATTGTGTACTCTAGCGTCTGTCATAGATACATGAAAAAATGAAATTACTAATGAGCCGACAGCACATTGCCGACCAAAATAAGAAATTAATTGTAATTGTTTCTTGTAATATGATTCAAGTATCAATTCAATTCGATTATATTGGTGCACAATCGTATATAATCTCTTGCAAACACGTTTGATACGCAGTAAAATCGTTTCAACATTACAATAGTCCAAAATACGATAAAGTAATTCGTTGGGTAGATTGACTAAAAATACGTTTGCCATCAGTGTTAAAATTGTTAAATCTAAAATTATCATTTGTTGATAGGTTTAGTTCGAAGTTAAACGAAATGAGTTCAAGATTATATATATATGTCAGCGTCCAAACTGAGATTACGTCCAATCTCAGATTGGCCTAGGCGAATGTCGGATCCGAGATTGGACGCGTCCAATCTCGGATTCACGCAATTCTGTTCATTAAAATATCAATTACACTTTAGACAGATCTTAGATTCGAACTTTTTTTTTGAGTTATGTTCACACAATGCCAGTTTGTTTGGCACAATTGTCATTTGGCAGATTTGAATAAAATTTTAGGAGTTATGAATAAATTTCTAGAGAACAACAACTTTTGTGAAAAACTTTTATTACATTTTTGAGTCTAAATATAGCTTCTTCCTAAATGCTTGTAATACTTAAAACGGCATTGTGTGAACATAATTTCAAAAAAAAGTTTGAATCCAGGGTGTGTGGGTGAAGGTGTGTGTGGGGTGTGAGTGTGGGGTGTGGGTGTGGGTGTGTGTGGGTGTGGGTGTGGGTGTGTGGGTGTGAGTGAGGGTGGGTGTGGGCGTGGGTGTGGGTGTAGGTGTGGATGTGGGTGTGTGGGTGTGGGTGTGGGTGTGTGAGTGTGGAATCTGGGCGGATCAATAGAATATCGAGCTCACACCCACACCCACACCCATCCACACACCCACACCTACACCCACACCCCACCCACACCCACACCCACACTCACACCCCCACACCCACCACCCACACCCACACCCTACACGTGCTGCATTATGATCTGAAATAAATTATGATCTAATGGAAGATGAAGATGTCACTAAAGATCAAGCGGCACGTATGTTTCAAAAATCGCAGAAAAAGAAAAAGATAAATCATTTTTATTGTAGTTTTAGAAAAGTAAAATAAACTTGATATTATAATAAATAATCATATCATTATGTTAAACTTCATATAATAACGATTCAGAAATTAGTGATGGCGCTAGTGAACAAATTAGAAGAATTGAAAAGTTACAGAATGTTAGAAAGAGACATGTGCTTCAATTGCACTCTATTTTCATTTGTTCTTCGATATTTCTGTAAGTCTTTCTTTTTGTCTTGAGGATATCTTTGAAACCTGGTCAAAGATTCTAGAGAATGAAAATTTTAAAATTATTATAGTAAGTATTACAAAACTTTCTCTACATGTGATGAAATGTATTTAAAAAGTGGCAGAATCCATTATGATGCAATAGAATCCGGTATGAGCTAGTACCGATATACTTGTAATTGGCTTTTTGATTGATAAGAATGTGAATAAAATATCGTTCGAGAGCAATAGTCGTGAATTTAGCGCACAGATATTGAGATTTCATGATGAAACTGTAGCATTGTAGTACAATCCATAATTAACATCCTGTTCGAAAAAAATGAAATCTACACATTTCTATGTATGAATATTTGTTCTATCAAAACAAAACTTTCGCTTTTTTTCGCAACAGAAGGGTCAAATTTTCATTGAAAGCATTTGAGAAACAAAACGGCATACACCACTTTTTTTGAAGAGTAGATGTCTTATACCTTATTGACGCAGGATAACCATGGAAAACTCTTGTGAAAAAAAAACAAGAATGATTCGTAGTTTTGTGCATTTTCTAAAAATCTATTAAACGATACGACTACCACGATTTCTGTCAAATAATTTTTTGTGTATTCTATTCAAAACGAATTTCATAAGCCATCATATGCGCTGTATTACTTGCTTTTCAACAGCATTCATTCAATACGTATTAAAAAGAACATTAGTTTTACTATCCAGTGATAGACTTACAATATTGCTCAATCTTTCCAGCATATATCGATTAGAGAGAGAATGGCTTCGAATGACATTTATGTTCAATAAATATTCAGATAAATTTGTTAATAAACAGTCTCAACATGTCTTATTAATAGATCTTACTTTCAATAGATTAGAATGATAGAGCATGAAATTTTGCACAATTCTATCTATTTATTTTCTTTTCTATTGAAGATAAAAATAATTTTTCGACAACTATCCGATAATAACTATGATACCCATAATATTTCTTTTGTAAACACAATGTGGAAACTAATAACGTAGATCGATGAGATTTTTGATGCTCTACAAAATGATATAGAGATCATGTTTACTTTTAGCTTTTTTCGTAGAATATGTAGGATAAAACGGGTATATTATTGTGCCCGCTTTGACCCTACATAATCTAAAAGAAAACTAAAGGTAAACATGATCTTTAATATCATATTTTAGATCATCAAAAATATCATCAATCTGCATTATTAGTTTCGATATTGGACCTTATCTACCGGTGTCCTTTGATATTAATTAATAATTTAGTGTCATGAATTATCACATGACACGAGAACAAATTGATGACATTTTCAGTAAAAGAAAAGACACAAATTAATCACGATAAAATCATATTTATTCACTCTACATATTGTTTAAATACGCGAAATTTCCGTATTAAATTCTTTGATTTGTCAGAAATATTTGATATAATCTCCTATTACTGCTTATCATGCCAATTATATGTACATGAATTTTTGAAAATATGCAATGACGATTCAATAAATAATGCAACATAAAATCCTTTTTTCCTGTTATAATGAAATAATATTCTATTTTGCACGATGATATTGTAATCAAATACTGTTATGTTGTTTTCTCTCTTCTTTTTTATTTGATATTTTAATAGAGAATATAAAGTATATCGAAGAGTTAATCCTGAATATTTTTATTCCTTCAAACAACGTATATAATTAAAATAAAAATAGATTGTTTTATTATTCATTGAGATGCCCTCAAGATAGTCTCAAGTAATCTATTCTTAAAGGTTTTATGAGATAATTTTTGGCTCTGCTTATCATAACTTTATCTTTTTGGTGACGTTCACCACACAAGAAATTTTAATCATCAGAAGTCACATGGATGCACTTTTATTTTCTTGACGAACAAATTTCCTAGCGCTCTTATTCTTTTTTCTCGCAAACGGACAACTTGGTCTCTTTATTTGATCGGACAATATTGAGTGTTTTGACACATGGTCACAGAAACAATCAAAACGTATACTATTGACAACAATTAAGTGATATTCAGTGCATGTTAACTTTCAAATAATGCATCAACAATAATTAATCTTTGACGTCAAACTATCTATTCCATAAAAAATTGATCTCCGTAGGACTTCGATATTATAATCAACATCTTGAACATCTTTTATAACGGATATTTATTGTCAAAAGAATGCACATCTGCATATGAAACATTAAATTAATAAAGCAAGAGCCTAAAAGCAATTAAAAAACAAACATTACCATAGTGCGCAGAACGGTGGAGAGCCGGGGGGGGGGGGGGGGGGGGGGGG